GGTGGACCCAGCGGTTCTGAGGCCTCTGGTTCTGTAGACCCACAGGACGGTGGAGCTCCTGAACCTTCTGCTGTAGGTCCAGCTGCTTCAGAACCAGAGTCCCGACGGGCCCCTGCTGCTCCGGACCCGGTCAGGACCCGGTGTGCTGAGCTGCTCCTCTCTGCTCTCTGCCCTGAAGCTCTGGATCAGAACCGGGTGGCCCGGCTGGCCGCAGACATCGAACAGCAGGTCCACGAGCTTCACGCACAGAACCGCCTCCGATACAAAACCTGCGTGAGGAGCAAGGTGTCCAACCTGAGGACGGCCCCCCACCTCCGCCAGGGCCTCCTAGAGGGCTCCCTGCCCCCCAGGGTCTTCGCCCGCATGTCTGCGGAGGAGATGGCGGGTCCAGAGCTCCGGCGGCTGAGGGAGGAGTACTCCTCCCAGGGGGTGAGGGAGCGGCAGCTCCCCCGAGGCCTGGAGGGGACCAGGACTCAGGAGGTCCGCTGCAGGCGGTGTGGGGGCCGGGACTGCAGCCTGACCCAGGTGACCCGGGGGGCTCTCTTCTTACCTGCCTGGGTGAGGCGGGGGGGTCCCGACGAGGAGGCCATGACCTTCCTCACCTGCAGGGGGTGTGGCCAGCAGTGGTACCACAGCGGCTGGACCTGCCTCTGAGCCCACGAGCCAAAACTGCTTCGGCTGATTCCCACTAAACATAATGGAGGATCAGATCGTGTCTTCGTCGAGTCCGTCGGTCAAAGGCACGATCTGGACGTGTCCACGACGTCTGACCATGACCTCACCTGTAGGTCATGACCTCACCTGTACGTCAAGATGGAGCCTAATGTTTGAACGTCAGACTTGGAGGTCATAAAGACTTCCAAGGCAGGTACACGTGTGCCTTAAGTAAAATTTACAATAATAATTTATAATCATGAAAGAGTAACTGCACAGTTACTCTTTCATGATTATAAATTTGCACGGCTTCACCACAAACCAACTGTTGATATTTTCTGCGTTCATTCCTCTCAGAGCTTGTTCTGTTAGTCCAATAAAAAGGATAAAGGAAACATTTAAGGAGCGATGATTTATTTGTAAATCTTACTCCAACTGTTTCTAGTGGGTGGAGGATGTTTCCTGTTGCACAATGGATGTTCAAACATACTGTTAAGTTAAAATTTGATGTGGAAAAGACGTCGTCTGGCGTCAGTCTGCACCTGCGAGGGACCGACATCAGACGAGCAAAAACGACTTAAAAAAGACGTCGCTTAGACGTCTCCTTGCACAGTGGGTTCGGCTATGTTTTAGCTATTTTCTGTGTTTTTGTTTTTGCTGATTTCCACCTTATAGACAATTAGATCATAAATAATTAAAAAAAAAATAGATTTTAAATAATTCCATTTTAAATAATTAGATTAAAAAATTAGATAGTACATAGATTATAAATATTAGATTATTAAAAATTTGATTATAAAAATTTGATTTAAAAAATAGATTTTAATAATTAGATTTCAAATAATTAGATTATAAACCATTAGTTATAAATAATTATATTTTAAATAGATTATAAATATAATAATGACATTTTAAAAATAGATTTAAAATAATTCAATTTTAAAAATTATATTTTAAATAATTAGATTAAAAAATATTTTTAATAGATTTTTAAAATTTAGACAAAAATAATTTTAAATATTTAGATTTTAAATAATTAAAATTTTAGATTTTAAATAATTAGATTTTATGTAATTAGATTATAAGTACTACTACTAGCTCATTTCATATTGTCGTAATGTGTTCAGCTGTTTTCCTGCTGGTTTCAGCTGATGTGAGCTGTTGGAGCAGCAGCGGTTTGATTTTGTGCAGATTTCAGAAGCGCTTGTCGTTTCAGATGGACTGAGATCTGCTCCAGTTTCAGTTTTTATTGACAGTTTATAAAATCTCCTGATCAATATAATTTATGATAAATTAGTTTCTCTTTCGTTTGTGTTCAGAGCTGCTGAACCTCTGCCCATCTTTACTTCTAACCTTCTGTCCTCCCACAGCTCCAACATGAAGAAGGAAATAGAATGAGAAGAAAGAACAAAAAGACAATGAAGAAGAAGGAAGTAGAAGGAGAAGAAAGAACAAGAAGAGTTTATTTGAACAACTTCCTGTTTTTCTCTGAGACACTTCAGAGATTGAACAAAACAAGAATAATCCGGTTCAACTGGGAAACGTTCTTCAGCTCGTTCTTTATTGTTGTTTTCAAAGTTCTCCAGAAGCAGCTCGAGTCTTCACGTCTCCTTGAACCACTTCCTGTCCTCGGTCTGTGTCTGTCTGGACCGTCTCTTTGTGTCTTCTGTCTCTTAAGTCCTCCTGACAAGAACCGGTCCACTTGTAGAAGAAACTGAGACCATCAAACTTCAGTTTGCTGCAACATTTATGTGTGTCAGTGAACGCAGCACGTGATCTGAGGACTCTGAGACCACGAGAGCCCAATGTAGGACCTCCTGACAGGATCTCCTGACGACCTCCTGATGACCTCCTGATGACCTCCTGATATTTTTACATAATATTATAAAATATAATAATAATAATTATATAAATATATTTACAGGCCTTGTTTACTGTTTGTTGTTTACTGAGACAAATGAACAACGACAACAAAAAAGTTGTTTCTATGCCAGTAGGGTTGCCAGGTAAGAAAAGAACTGTTGCTTTAAAACTGTGTTTTGACTCAGTCTTGTGAGCTGGGCGGGGGTGTCGTTAGAACACGTGCACAGAGAAGGAGGGGCTAAAAAAAAACACGTTTGTGTTCATCTGGCAACCTCAGCTCAGCTGCATGCCTGGCAGCCTGATCACAGCTACATCCAAACATGAACGCTCCTGTGGACCTAGGATGTTGTTGGTTTGCTCCTACGTGCTGAAAACGTGCACGCAGCACAGAAACTCCCTGTTTTCTGTACGTGTCGTTTGGGCACGAACCGCAGCAGAAAACGCCTCGTGTAAACTGGGCCTGCGACAGATACAGAGACTGACTGGTGGAAGAAACTGCCAGAACTTTTGAACAAACACAAACAAACAAACAAACAAACAAACAAACAAACAAACAAACAAACAAAGTTGTTTGTCCCGTGGACAGATCACTCATGATTGTTGGTTTGGGTCAAACTACGACCGTCTTAAAGACATAATACCATATTTCATCATTTCCTATCTGGCAACCCTGAGTAAGGAGCAGCAGCCTGGGAGAGGAGGAGGAGGAGGAGGAAGTGGAAGGGGGAGAAGGAGAAAGAGGAGGAGGGGCTCAGAACAACATGTGACAAAGTGAGAGCAGCTGACAGCCTGGTCTGAACCTGAGGAAAAGACTCCGGACCAGAGGAGATCCAGAGGAGGTCCAGAGGAGGTCCAGAGGAAGACCCGGCTGACAGGAACCATCAGGTGAAAAACTTTATTCCAACTTTGTGATTTTTGTGAAGTCGACAGAAAAAGCTCTGGTTCTGGTTTTAAAGTGGATTTGAGCCAGAACCAGAACTTTAGGGTCCGTTCATGAGGAGTTCTCCTGTCAGCTGGTTCTGGTTCTGGTTGCAGAGAAGAAGTTTGTGCCTGAACGGACTCCCTGTTCCTCAGAAACTGAACTCCAGCTGCTGTTTTTTAATAAATAAACAAACAAATAAACAGCTTCTGAAGCTGAACTCCTCCTCCTCCTGTCACAGCTGTATTTCAAAATAAAAGCCTTACAGCTCCTTCTGTCTCTCAGAAGTTGGACTTTTCAACGTTTCGGCTTCGATTCTTCAGCTGTTTGACTCTTTTAGACGTCAGCGTGTGTCCACAGCACGGGTTGGACCGGTCCACAGCAGAACTTTTGTCGGATCTTTGGGCTCATTTATCAGCTGACAGGGTTTCCTGACATTTCACTTACTTGGACCGGACCACGAATACGAAGAGATCAAAGATCTAAAACGAGTTCCTTTTATTTCCTCGTTTTAGCTTTGATCTTTGAGTTGATCCGGTACCTGGTTCTGTTTACAGTGAATGGATCCGGTACCTGGTTCTGTTTACAGTGAATGGATCCGGTACCTGGTTCTGTTTACAGCGAGCTGATCTTCAGCTCGTCATGCAGGATTTAATCTGACTCCTAATCCTCTTTAGCGGGTTGTGTTTTCTGCTGCTGCCTGGAGGAGTTCTGGTCCTGTGACCGGCCTCCGCGTGACGCTCTGCGCGTTAGTTCATCACAGGAAGTTCATCACAGGAAGTTCGTCACAGGAAGTTCATCACAGGAAGTTCATGCTCTTTTAGCTCTTTGAAGAGGCAGTATCTTACCTGTTGTAGATAGCACTGCCATTTCAGAACCAGCTCCAGTTTTAGAGTCCCAGCAGCCGGTCCGTTTTCTGAACAAATCCTGAGTCCCACGGTTACTTTGACCAAACTGTGTTTTTTTTTTATAACAACTAGCAGCAGCAGCTAGCTGTGGCACTTCCTGTAGAAAGATCACAGCATTTTTGTCAGAATAAAAGCAGCGGTTCATTCAAATGTTCTGAAGTTTTCAGATGGAGGTTAAATCCCTCTGGGTCTAGTTTATTTAGTCAGAGTTGGTTCTTCAAGGGATTCAAACAGTTATTGTCGTATTTTATTAACAGAAAAATAAAAACCTGATTTGTAAAAATTGGCCTCGGTCGTAGAGACTCGTGTCGGTGGACCTGGTGGTCCTCGTCGTTCCTTCTGCTGCCAGGACCGCTCGGTCTGAAGAGGACAAAAACAAAATCTGTTTCTTGTCGGCTGCTGGACTCCAACAGAGTCGGGAACTTTAAGCGGTAAAACTAAAACGCGTGCGCTCTTCTCCTCAGGTCAAAGGTCGGACTGCTCGTCCTGCCCTCGGCGTCTCCACACCTCCGGGTCTGGATTATTAATCCCAGACTCCAGGATGTCCAGGCCGGGCCTCCTGAAGGTGATCCTCCTGGGCGACGGCGGCGTGGGCAAGTCGTCGCTCATGAACCGCTACGTCAGCAACAAGTTCGACTTGCACCTCTTCCACACGATCGGAGTGGAGTTCCTCAACAAGGAGCTGGAGGTGGACGGGCACCGGGTCACCCTGCAGATCTGGGACACGGCGGGACAGGAGCGCTTCCGCAGCCTCCGCACACCGTTCTACCGCGGCTCGGACTGCTGCCTGCTCACCTTCAGTCTGGATGACGGACAGAGCTTCCAGAACCTGGCCAACTGGAGGAAGGAGTTCTCGTACTACGCCGACGTCCAGGACCCTGACAGCTTCCCATTTGTGGTGCTGGGAAACAAACTGGATGCTCCCGAGCGGCAGGTGTCTCTGGAGGACGCCCAGCGGTGGTGCCGGGACAACGGCGGACACCCGTACTTTGAGACGAGCGCCAAGGACGCTACAAATGTAGCGTCGGCCTTCGAGGAGGCGGTCCGTCGCATTCTGGCATCAGACAAGAGAGACGATCACCTCGTTTACAGCAACACGGTAGATCTACAGAAGAAGAGTCCCCGTGGACCGAGCTGCTGCTGAGCCGAGCGCTGGACCCACGACCTGATGGGAAATGACCCACTGGGCCTGTTGGGAAGTAACCCACAACAAAATGGGAACTGGCCCATGACCTGATGGGAAGTGGCCCACGACCTGATGGGAAGTGGCCCACGACCTGATGGGAATGGACCCATGACCCGATAGGAACTGGTCCACGATCCAATGGTAACTGGCCCATGTCCTGATGGGAACTGGCCCACAACTTGATAGGAACTGGCCCATGAAAAGATGGGAGCTGGCCCACAACCTAATGGGAACTGACCCACGATCCAATGGTAACTGGCCCATGACCTGATGGAAACTGACCCACGACCTGATAGGAACTGGTCCACAACCTGATGGAAACTGACCCACGACCTGATAGGAACTGGTCCACGACCTGATGGGAACTGAATCACTATCCAATGGTAACTGGCCCACGACCTGATGGAAACTGGCCCATGACCTGATGGGAACTGGCCCATGACCTGATGGGAACTGGCCCACAACCTGATAGGAACTGGCCCATGAAAAGATAGGAACTGGCCCACGACCTGATGGAAACTGGCCGATGAGATGGTTCTGCAGACCTAAGTCTGAGCGGCTACAAAACGAGGATTTGAAGCTGGTTCTGGATTGTTCTGGCCAGACTTCCTCCTGTTTTACTGTACAAGGATCAACATCTTGCACTAATTGTTTTTTTCTTCAGTGTTTGAAACTAAAATTAATATTTTGAACCATTTTTACAGTTTTTGCTCATTGGTCTGAAATTCATTACAACCCTAAATTTGACCCACTTTGGGTTTCATGTTAAAAATATTTAGTAGCACATTGTAGATTTGGCCTGCTTATAATTTTTCAGAATATAATTTTTGAGAAATATTTATTTGTCACACTATCCACAGTCAAGAACTTAAAACTCAAGTACTGTATTTATCATCTAAAGAAAAGTACGTAGTTATTTTCAATTAAAAATAGAAAACCAGACTCCTTCTGACACAAAATCTCAAAGCTGAATTGATTTTTTCAACATGTTTAAGTTTTAATTTATTTTATTTCTTGTAACGTTAACTCTAATTATTATTTTATCAAAGATAATCACAGGAAATTAAACTACAGCCATCTCTGAATTAAAAAAACAGAAGTTTGTACTTTTAAGGTTTTTCTCTGCAGTCTCCATTTTTGTCCTCAAGATGGCGGCGCTGCACCGCCCATAGACATATACACATAGACGCCTCATTGAGTCAAGAGCGGCGACACAGAAAAAGCTGGACAAGACTTTTCTTTCGAGACACCCTTTTGTCTCAAATCACTCCTGAAACTTTTCTCCATCACTCCATCCTGCCTGGACTCTCTTCTTCACCTCTTCACCACACTCCCCATGTTCCTGGACAGTGGACCCCAAGTCCTTGAAGTCCTGCACCTTTGTGACCTCTGCTCCTTGTAGCCTCACTGTTCCACCTCCTCCCTCTCATTCACACATGGACTCTGTCTTACTACGGCTGACTTTCATTCCTCTTCTTTCAAGTGCATACCTCCACCTCTCCAAGCTCTCTTCCACCTGTTCCCTGTTCTCACCATGATGTCACCTGCAGACATCATAGTCCTAAAAAAACTTGTCTATTTTTAAGCCTAATGAAAATATTTTACATTTAATGTCGATGGTATCGTCTGGGTTGACGCTGGAGAGAAGTTGCTCTTGAACGTAGGCATGACGCGATAAACAATAAATCAATTAATCGAGAACTTGTTTACTAATTTTTATTAAAAACTTTGCGTGACAAATGCTAAAGAGCTCAAATCACACTGAGCGACCGCCATTTTGAGAACCAAAGAGACAGCCCATGTCACGTCAAGGAGCCTCCCTCCCATTTTTCTTAAAGAGACACGCTGCTCGCTCCCTCACTATCCATCCTTCGGTTCAGCCTTATAATGCCATCTGGTGGTCAAAAAAAAGGTACTACACAAAAATTAACCACCATTTCTTCTTAAATTTGACAATTACTAATTATTGTCAAATTTCAAACAATATTATCGTTTATCGCAATAATTTCTGAGCCAATTAATCGCCCAGTAGAATTTGTATCGTGACAGGCCTACATGAACGACACGCTTCATTCACTTTGGACAGAAGAGCAACGTCTCTCCTCACAAGCTGATTTAAAAAAAATACGTTTAGTTAAACTTCAGTCCTGATCATTTCCGAGGGATTCTTCTAACAGACGGCGAAACTTGACTCTGTTTTAGATGAAACTCTGCCAGCAGGATTCATCTCGTTTGGAAGACGACCACGACAGACGGAAGAAAGAAAGAGGCGGGACACTCGTGTCACGATCATAAAAAATATCAGTTTTACTAGAGAAGGTTACAAAAATCATCACCATGTGGGAGTCAGAGAACCATTTCCAAAGAAAGAAACACCTACGAGGGACTACAACGCCATCAAAGTACAACAGTTTGTTTTATAGAAAAGATGGAGGTGAAGGGGGGAGGGGGGCAAACACCGCCTACCACACTCGTCAGTACAATGACTACACATCACCTGAAGAACTGCAACGACGCCGCCGCGTCTCCTCCATGCAAACAACGAGGAGACGCCGCGCCTCTCACATCGACCTGGAGCCGGATGTTCACGGAGCAGAACCGGAGCACACGGGACGATACCGACATGCTGCGTCGCATCAAAGTCCTCAAACGGTCCTGACCGACGACGACGTCTGCGTAGAAAATGTCCGTATGAAAGTTCCTGACGCGTTTCAGTGTAAACACCCAAAACAGTCTCTGAGAGGCTCAAAACAAATAAACAAATAAATAAAGTTGTTTGGCTGATTGTTTATAAACAGATTCCATCAAATAGTCAACCACAGCTGCCTAAAGCCGATAAATACAAAATAAATGAGTTCCCGTCTTTTGAGTCACGTCGTTTCAATGTTTACGTCACGATCCATCGTTTACACAAACTATCAAATGTAGAACGAGTACTTGAGCGCGAAACACAGATTTCAAAGTACATGTACACAGATTTAGTTAGTAACGTGTGTTAGTAATGTGCGGTATTCTTGCAGGGGTATTTACAGGTGGGGTTTAATCTCAAAAGGAGGAACAGGTTAGTAATCTGGAGAGGATTAAACCGGCGAGGAACGTAACTCAGATTGGGTTTGATACCTGAGGTGTGCGTCTCTTAAGACCCAGATAAATTATTTCAGCTGGTGATGAATGTCACAAAACACAAAGATATAAAAAAAGGAGAAGTTCTAATCATTCCTCGAACATGAACGACCTCTCTGACCTTGAAGTAATTTGGGGGTTAAACAACAAGAGATGCGTTTAAACCCTTTGAGGGGACTTTAGAGCAGATTCTGGAAACAGTGCAATCTTCAAAGGTCACCGGAGACGAACCACGAAGAAGAAATCAGAACGACAGCTGGCACACGTTTAAAAAAGAAAAACATTCACGCACATTCGCACGATAAGATTTATATCCACAAACACGCATAAAAAACACCAAAGAACTGGAAGGGAACCCGAGGAAGTCGGTTCCGGTCGGCCGCTCCGGCGGCGACAGAAGAATCTGGCTGTTTTGAGGAGCTGTGTTGGCTCAGGGCGCGAGGCCATCACAGCCAGGCCACGCCCACGAGCCGCCGCTTCTGAGCCCGATGAACCGGACCGAAGCTCCACCCGGCTCCGTTGAGGCCGGCTGCCTCTCTTGACCCTCGATCCTCTTCATCCCTGCCCGAACCACGACAGAGGATGGAGAGTCAGGAGACGGGGAAGGACATGACCGAGGTGGGTGGTTTGGGGAGGAAGGGGTGAGGGGTGAGGTTTGGACAGGAAATGGACAATGGCTGAACAGGAAGTCCTGTCCTTATGAGTAGGAAGAGGAGTTCTGGCCCTCCTTGGAGCGCGCCTCGGCTTCCAGGTCCTGGTCGTCCTTGGTCTTGATGTCCTGGTACTCGTGGGTGGACACGGCGCTCTTCAGGTAGGCCCAGTTGGCTGCCAGGATCATCAGGTAATGGACCTAAAGGGAACAAAGGACAGAACCGGGTCATCGCCGGCCCATATATGCCATAGATGGCCTGCAATCTAAGCGGTGTGTGGATTTTTGATAGTGACCTTTATATACTCATGCTGGGTAGGTTCAATAACTTTTGTAAATCCCCCCACCGAAGATCTGAACCCTGGTCTCATTGTTTCTTAATAAACCCCAAAAAGGAAGAAGCAGGTAAAGATAATGGATGGATGATTATTGCAAGCATTCCAAAGACTTATATGGACAGAAATAATCAAGAAACTTGGTGTCCTTTGCAAAAACATGGGTTACCAGGTCTCCACCTTGGAACCAGGCCTGGGGGAGGGGCTTGTCAATGAGTGTCTGGTGACCGGGTCTCTACCTACGGGGCCTGGTCAGGCTCAGCCCAAATGAGCAACATGGGTTTGCCTTCCTGTGGACCCACCACCTGCAGGAGAGTCCATCTGAGTCGGGTGCATGAATCTATGGGCAGTGGCGGAAGGTGGAGGCCAAGACACTCTGACCGTGGTTTACCAAAGCTGCTCTTGGGACAAGGAATGTGACCTCTGTGGTGGGGAAGGAGCTTGAGCTTGTGCGTGAGGTTAAGAGGTACCGACCAGATCTAGTTGGGCTCACCTCAATGCACAACATGGACTCTGGAACCGATCTCCTTGAGAGGGGCTGGACCTTATTCCACTCTGGAGTTGCCCATGGTGAGAGGCACCAAGCTGGTTGGGTCTACTCTTAGCCCCCGACTTGGTGCCTGTGTGTTGGAGTTTTCCCCGGTAGATGAGAGGGTGTCTTCCCTTCGGCTTCAGGTGGGGGGACGGGCTGTGACTGTTGTTTGTGCCTATGTGCCAAATGGCAGTTCAGAGTATCCGGCCTTCTTGGAGTCCTTGGCGGGGGTGCTGGAAGGTGCACCAGCTGGGGACTCCTTTATTCTGCAGGGGGACTTCAATGCGTAACGACAGTGTGACCTGGAGGGGCGTGACTGGGAGGAACGGCCTCTCTGATCTGAACCTGAGCGGTTCTGTTGTTGGACTTCTGTGTTTGTCATAGCTTGTCCATCACAAACACCACGTTCGAACGTAAGGGTGTCCGTAAGTGCACTTGGCACCAGGACGCCCTAGGTCTTAGATCAATGATTGACTTCATAGTTGTGTCATCTGATATGCGGCCGTTTATTTTGGAACTCGGGTGAAGAGAGGAGCTGAGCAGTCAACTGATCACCACCTGGTAGTGAGTTGGATCAGATGAAGGGGGAAGATGCCGGACAGACCCAGTAGACCCAAACGTGTAGTGAGGGCTTGCTGGGAACTTCTGGCTGAAGAACCCATCAGAAGGATCTTCAGCTCTCACTGGAGCAGTTCAAAGCCGAGTGTGAAGCAGCTGAGATGAGAACAAGCACCTCCAAGCCTGAGGCCGTGGTCCTCAGTCAGAAAAGAGTGGATTGTTCTCTTCAGGTCGAGGGTGAGGTTCTGCCTCAAGTGGAGGAGTTCGAGTATCTCTGGGTTTTGTTCAGGAGTGAGGGAAGAATGGAGCGTGAGATTGACAGACTGACTGGTGCAGCATCTGCAGTATTGTGGACTCTGTACCGGTCTGTTGTGGTGAAGAGGGAACTGAGCTGTAAGACAAAGCTCTCTGTTTACTGGTCGGTCTACGTTCCTCCCCTCAGCTCTGGTCATGAACTCTGGTAGAGACTGAAAGAATGAGATCGTGGATCCAGGAGGTTGAAATGAGTTTCCTCTGCAGGAGCTGGACTCTTCCTTAGAGACAGGGGGAGAAGATCAGTTATCAGGAGAGACTCAGAGGAGAACCGCTGCTCCTCCACATCCAGAGGAGCCAGTTGAGGTGGTTCATCTGGTAAGGATGCTCCCTGAGCGCCTCCCTAGGGAGGTGCTTCGGACAAGTCTGACTGGGAGGAGACCCAGGACACACTGGAGAGACTACGTCCTGGGAACGCCTTAGGATCCTCCCAGAAGAGCTGGAAGAGGCTGTGGAGAGAGATGTTTGGACCTCCCTGCTCAAGATGCTGCCCCCAAGACCTGAGTCCAGAACAAGAGGAAGATGATGGATGGATGATGGATGGATGATGGATGATGGATGGATGACGGATGGATGATGGATGGATGATGGATGGATGATGGATTATTGCAAGTGTGTGCAGGAAGTCGTTCTTTAAGTCAGAGTTTAGAATCGTAGACCGACGTTCATGAACCAACAGCTGAAATGTTTAAAGAGTTTCATTCCTGACCGAAGGGTTAGTTCTTCAGCAGGAAGTTCTTCTTTCATCTTTTATGCATTTTGAAACATTTTAGTCACGTTTTGTAAGAAAAGCTGATCAAACTAAACCCTTGTCAGATTTAAAGACTTCATTTTAGCGTGAATTTAAAATGTGTAGCGTCTTTATGATTGTTCTGAAACAGCAGCTGAACACACACACACACACACACTGCCGAGCTTCAGCTGATATGGTACATGAGAGGCGGCGTTGCCATGGCAACATGAGAGCAGCTCACCAAAGCGATGACGGTGGCTCCGGCGCCGGCCAACGCCACGATGTAGAGGTGGTAGGACAGGTAGAACTGGAACGACACCAGAACCGGGTCAGAAGAAGAAAAATAAAGATGACCTTCATCTGTTCAGGACAAGGACGACTCTCAGCTACTACCACACCACGTCTGTAGAACCACTGCCAGTTCTGTGTTTCCTAAAACCAGTTGGCTGCGGCGGCCATTTTACGTTGTATCGGCTGTAAATGAACATCTAATGATTGCTTCCTGATCGGTTCATTAAAATCCACCCAGTGGTTCGTTAAATATTTTGCTAACAGACCCCAAACAGCTAAAAATCTTCCTAATTCAGTTAGAGCTCCAACTGTGTGCTTCGTGGCTGACTCTCAGCTACTACCACGCCACATTTTAGCTCAGCGTCTGTAAAACGAAGTTGGTTGTGGCGGCCATCTTGAATGTGTAGATCCAGATGTGTCCAGTGGTTCTGGAACATTAAACATCAAAGTGGAAGCAGAATATTGATGTTTGTGGCGTCTGACCTCGCTCGTGTTGCAGATGTCTCCCAGAGTGGCGCCACAAGCTTTCCCTGGTGAGGCGTTCAGGGACACCAGACCTGCAGGATGACAGACAGGAAGCAGCTTTTTACCACAGGACCCGAGAGCCTGAAGGCATCACGATCTCACAGAGAGGAGCGCACGATCCTCGTCCTGCTCCGACCCGGCCCAGCTTCAAATGCGGGTCAGAACCTTGGAACATGCAGCAGAAACAAACAGAACTCGTTTTACTGACCCATTTAGGAGGTCCAGTTCATGGTGTCCAGTACCACATGTCTGCGTTCAGTTCGGCTCCTGCCCCGCCCACTACCACCTGTCCCCAGGTGTTTGTCATTCTGTCCATCACTGTGGTCCTTTTGTCCCACATGTCTCTGTTACTGGTTCCCGATACGATACTAATATTGGTATCAATACCAGTCTAAAGTACAAAAAGAAAGATCCCAATCCCGATATCAATATTGTATTGATACCAGTCTGCAATACTCGGGGGAATATCCCGATACTGTTACTGGCATCAATAACGATACCAGTCTGAAGTACTCAAGGAAATATCCCGATACTGTTACTAATATCAGTATCTGTACCAGCCTAAGTACTTGTAAGAATATCCCGATACTTCAGACAGATACTGCTTTAGCGCTCAGTGATGTCACTTCCTCTTCTGCTTTGCGAGGAACTGAGTGTCCAACATTTAGAGATCTCTGAAGATAAACATGAGTAAAATGTTGAAGTACTAACTCAGTATGCAGCAAGTACCCAAACTGAAGTACTTGTACTCGGTCTGAAAAACCTAGCATCGGGACTTTCCTCATCTCTGTTTGTCCCTCGGTGGAGCATTATCAGAACCAGGTCCGGTCTGCTCGTTGTGGCTTTCTAGACGTTCCGGTTTCTGACAGACGTGTAAACTTTTCTGTTTCATAAAGTTTTAAATATTCCTTTGAGCTCCGAGTCAAGGCTGCCGGTTTGAAACCCTCCTGACTCCACTCTGGTCCTCACAGCTTTAAGAACTTTACCTTTTAAAGTTCATGCTCAATAATTCAGGTAAAAAAAATCCAACAAAGTTCAGTCAGGTCCTCTGGATGGTTTCTTTGAATTGAAATGTTTTGGCCTTCATCCAAAGGACTTCTTCAGTCCGAGGAGCCACAACAAACTCTGTCCCACAAGCAGCACACTCACATAGTGGACCAACCAGTTGTGGCTCCTCAAACTGATGAAGTCCTTTGGATGAAAGACGAAACATTTCAACAAAAAGAAACCGTCCAGAAGACCTGACTGAACTTTGATGGAACTTTACCTTTTCTCTTTGGACCCGAGGTTTCTGGTTCCACCTTCGTCTGACTGTTTATTGACTCAATGTCTGCTGAGACTGTCCAAAGTGTCCTTGTCCATGTTACAATGTAAACAAAAACTGCTTTTACTAATTTATTACAAAATATTCTGTCGACTTTTTGTAGACGATGATAAATATTTACAGGTTGTTTATCGTAGATGAAACTCGTGTACAAATGCATCACAAATCCTCAGGTAGTCAAAAAGAAAACGCTTGCAGGGCCTTCCCGAAGGCTCAGACCCTCGTGTTGTGGCCCCGCCCACTCTACATCAATATTGTGATTGGTTAATGTTCCTGTCAGTCATTGACCAAACTCCTGCAGAGCCTCTGATAGGCTCCGCCTTCTCTGCTGACACTGAAGTCCTGACCAATCAGGAAGCAGCTTCAGACACGTTTCTGCCCAGAGACAAACACTTAAAAGAATCTGATTGGACGACTGGATTGTCTCTAAAATAAAATTTTGATGCTCACCTGCAAAGTAGTTTACAGGAAACAAGAGAAATTAGCGATAAATAAGAACAACTACATTAAATGTATAAATTTCATACAGCAGTTATTTTACTGACCGTACTGCCGGACGTCCACGCAGACGGAGCCCGGAGACGTGATGTTGGCGTCTGGAGACCTCATGGCGGCGCAGGTGTTCCACATGTTGAAGAAGAGGAAGACCGGGATGGCCGTGAAGCAAAAGATGGCGATGAAGACCAGAGCCAAGATGTAGGTCAGGAACATGAACTGCACACAGGAAAGAGCTGAGATTTAGATGTTTTTTTTTAAAGATTTAGGTTAATATCAGTTGTTGGAAGACCTTACCACCCACCTACACAAGAATCAGACTGTGTGCTTCGGCTGATGTACCTGGACATCAGCCGAAGCACACCTAACCAGACTGAAAGCCTGAGTCAGACTCAATGGGACACGAAATGACTCAAATTTGAAGTTGTTTGCAAATAAAAACACATAAGTTCATGTATTGTTGCAGTGGGAGTGGGTTGGGGTGGTGGGGGGGACAGTTCAAGAGTCAGGGGTGTGATGGTTCAAAGGTTGGGCTGTGAGGGTTGGTGGGTCAGGGAGTGTGGCCGTACGAAGGCGGTGATGCAGCGTCCGCAGACGGTGGTCTTGAAGTCGCTCTGCAGCTCCTTCTTGATGGCGCTGGTCGTGTAGAAGCCCTCCCCCAGCAGCAGGATGGCGTAGACGAAGAAGAAGGAGGCGACGCCGTAGATGATGTACTGACAAATCTGGATCCTGGACACAGACAGACAGAAGTTCACCTCAAAACCAAGTCCAGTCCACCCAGAACCACGTCTAACCCGGAACCACAGGAGTCAAAACAGGCTGATGTCTTAAGAACCAGTCGGAACCGGAGTTCTGGCTGTAAATATTATCTTTGACCATAAACTTTACGTTTCTGTGTGAATGCTGAACACCTCAGCTAAAGTTTGTTGAAAGAGCTAAAACTTAAAAACAAACTAAACAAATAAACAGGAGCCAGATGCTAAAATCACCACAACAGAAGCTAAAATGGCCTAAACTGCAGCTAAAAATCTGAAATGAGCAAAACCATAGTTGAAAATGAAAATTAGAACAATGCTAGCTAAAAGCTAAAAAAGTGAATGTAGCTAAAATTAGCAGAACAAGATCAAAAAATTAAAGCTAGGAAATAAGTACCTAAAATGTAAAGATGGCTAAATTTGTATTTTTAAGCAAAAAATAAAATAAAAAAGCACAACAATACCTAAAAGCTAAATGAGTGAAAATGTAGCTAAAAGCAGCCAAACAGTAGCTGAAAAATAAAACTAGTGTATTATGAGCTTAAATCTAAAAATAACTAAAATGTAGCTTAAAAGTATAACAGTAGCTAAAGGCAAAAATTAGTTAAATCATAGCTAAAAATTGCAAAACACTAATTAAAAAAAATTTTGTTAACTGTAGCTTAAAATTATTACTAGCAGAAAAGTAGCTTAAAAAAATGGCAGGTAAAGGCTAAATTTGTAAAAACAAAAATCAGCACAAGACCAGTCAGCTAACTCAGTGTTTGTAGCCACAGTTAGCAGAATAACTAAAAAACTCAAAGTAGCAAATAAGTGGCTAAAAAAATTTATGAGCTAAAAAAAGCACAACAATAGCTAAAAGCTCAATTTAGTTTAATCATAGCTAAAATGAGCAGAACAGTGACTAAAAGCTAATATTGGTAAACTCTAGCTAAAAACTAAAATGACCCGAATCACAGCAAAAAAAAAAAAAGTATAAAAGCAAAACTAAAAACGTAAATTAGCAAAACAGGATCTAAAATCTACGTCAGTGTTTTTGGACAAAATTAGCAGAATAGTTACCAAAATCTAAAACTAGCAAAGTCCTAGCTAAAGCCGAAAGACAGCTAAATCATAGCTATAAGCTAAACTAAATCAGTAGCTAAAAGCTGAAAGGCGGTAAATCGTAGCTAAAATTACCAAAACAGTAGCTAAAATTAGCAAAACAGTAGCTAAAAACTAAAATTATTTATATCATAGCTAAAAACTAAATGAGTGAAATTGTAGCTAAAATCAACAGAACAGCAGCTTAAAAGTAAATCTAGCAAATTGATAGCTAAAATCTAAAAAAGGCTAACATGTAGCTAAAAAGCTAACATCGGCGAATAGTAGCTGAAAACTAAAACTCATAAATAAGCAGCTTGAGTCTGAAATTTGTAAAATTGTAGCCAAAATTAGCAGAACTGTAGCTAAAAGATAAAAAAACAAAATTATTGTTAATTAAAAAGTTACAACTATAATCTAAATTAAGCTCAACAGTAGCTAAAGCTTATAATTAAAATATAGCTACATTTAGCACAGCAGAAGCTAAAAGCTAAATGAAGCAGAAGAAAATAAAAACAAATCAGATTTTAAAACATCAAACTGAAGGATCTGAGTACGTGTCTGAGTTTTACTAACGAAGGTAAATAAAAAATAAATTAAGTTAATGAAGCCGGACGTAAACAAAAGTTGTTAAACTGCAAAGAAACAGACGATGCTTTTATACTTACTGAGTTTCTGCTCTCATACATGTACACATGTGAACATGGACTGTGTATTTGTACACATGTTTAAATGGATTGTGTACTTGTACACATGTGTACATAGACTGTGTATTAATACAAAGGTGTAAATGGACTGTGTACTTGTATACATGTGTACATGGACTGTGTATTTGTACACATGTGTACATAGACTGTGTATTTGTACATATGTGTACATGCATTTTGTACTTGTACACATGTGTACATGGACTGTGTACTTGTACCTATGTGTACATGGACTGTGTACTTGTACCCAT